GCGGCGGTGGCGGTAGCGGTGGCGGTGGTGGTTGTGGTGGCGGCGGCGGTGGTGGCGTCGGCGGTGGTGGTGGTTGCGGCGGTGGTGGGTGGCGGCGGTAGTGCCGGTAGTGATGCTGGTGGTGGCCAAATTTGATCGCTGGAGGTGCCTCAAACTCATATTTAATCAATCCAAAATCTCAATATCAATCTTTATTCTCTATTCCATATACTCACTGATCAAATTATGCAATCTGATTGGGATTCCGTGAGTAATTCAGCCTTCACATCCACATCTCAGTCTCAGCTTGAGCGGTTCAACCTGGCTTTGTTCGCAGAGCGAATCTCATGAATCTCTGTCTCAACCCAGCAGTTCTCCACTGCACTTGGAGTTGCGCATCAGTCTTGTGTGACTCGTTTGCGTGGACATTTAAACCGCCACAAGGGCAGGAAGTCAAGACGAGGCGCAAGAGGCACAAACTGCCAGCCAGGAATCTGGAATGCATTTAAAAACGTCATGAGGCTGCGCTGGTGTGTGAGCCATGCTCAAGTATCCGAAGTACCCTCATGGATTGACTCATTGCTCGCTTGCATCCAGAAACCTGCCAAAGCTAACCTGCTAGCTGCTAGATCTGACTGCCCAGCAGCTAGCAGCTAATAGCTAACATGTTTGCAGAAAATTTTGAAAGCCATCGAGGCAACTTGTGAAGACGATGGTGGCTCAGCCAACCATCTCGCAGGCTTTGCTTAACAAGGCCACATTCACTGCCTGCTCATCAATCTCACCCCCGCTGATCTTCGCAAGCTGGGAAGCAATGATCACTGTGTTGCATGTGGACAAGCCCAAGTGGAGACATGACTCCAGCATCAGCACGTTCACAGATCCAATCCGAGCTCCGGCATCCGCAATCATCTTCTTGGCCTGGCTGCAGCTGTCGCCCTCCAGAATGCCCTTGTCGTAGAGGCTGGCATACTTGGACAGCGACTGCTCCAGCTTCAGCATGGCCTACTGTAGACCGCTGGCAAATGCAATGGTGATGCATCAGTTCAGCTAACAGTATGATGAAATTGAAGAAATGTCAACAAACTAAAGTAACTACAGTAACTAACTACAGAGTACCCGGCACGGAGCACTGGAGTGTCACAAGGAACTGGACCTGGACCTACATGGACCTGATCAATGAGCATGGAATTAACGGACCCATCACTAACTAGCCATAATCAGGAAGTAACCGCTACAATCAACACACAAACTGTTCAACCCTAGGCCCTAGGCCCGGTACAACAGAACCCACAAATAAAATTGTTGAGCGCCTAGCCGGCTTAAGACAAAAAGCAACCAAATTACATAGGCAACACAACTACACTAACTACACTCCCTGGATTGTAGTTGACGGTACTTGCTTGTTGGATAGTCAGTCAAAACTACCCACAGGAATCAGCCCAGCATGGGAACCGAACAAATGGAACAATAAGACTTACACAAATTGGAATCAAAACAACACACTAAAGGAGCAGACTGGAAACCCTGCTACCTAATACTAATAATCACCTACCTCACACACCCAATAATCAGTCGTCACTAACAAACTTGAGAGTTTACCGTCAATGTCCTTCCAGTCCTGAAGTTCTTCAAGTCCCAAGTCCCAAGACACAAGAAAGGCAAGCCTCACGCAACTGCTTGAAGACTGACTGGATCAGGCCGCCCTTCAGCAAGGCAATCGAGTCGTTTGCTTTGCCCATGACCTGCTCCAGGTCTTCAGGATTTCCAAGGCCCGACTTCCAGGAAGAGGAAGTGTCACCAAGATCCATATTCTGGGTGTGTCCTCCCAAGGTCTCCAGCGCCTCTGTCACCTCCTTGCACTCGGACTCCAGGGTTGCGGACACGCCCCCTGCAAGCACATGCGGGTCCCTGAGCACAGCATCCTTCACGCAGTCCCGGACGCAGCAACTTTGCATTTTCTCCTGAAGCCTCCGTCGGAGACACGCTGCTCCAACTCCAAGCTTTGCGCGATTGCCTTGTGCACTGACAGGACACCCTTCACATACTGGTCGAGGCGGCTGTGCTTTGGATCCCGCTGAAACCTCAAAGCGTGCGTGATGTGCAGGGCTTTGTAGTTACTCGCACAGCCCTTGGCAATCTGGCATTCGCGAAGCAGGGTGATTTGCAGGGCCCACCACTCTGAGTTGAAGCCACTGTGCTCCCGGATCACATTGAGAGCCGCGAACTCTGCCTTTGTGATGTCCTCGCCATCCTCGACCTCAGCAAGGGGCCACTCACTACTACAGCACAGGGGTACTTCATGGCTATGATAGTGATGCTGTCACTTCCAAATTTGGGCGCAAGGATTATGAAACTCAACCCTTTCCTGAAGGATGTTGTGGCTGGTTTCTAGGCATGTCAATGTGGGCACAGCAAGGCACCCTCGGAAACCTTGGACAAGACATTTCACGCGCAACACACAGGATTGCTCAGGTCAATTTAGTAAAGTGACTAAGGCCTAGGGGACTAAAGCCTGCATCATATCACCAGCCGCTAGCTAGCTGCAGCAATCACGCTTGCCAAGCAGCCCTCAGCTTCAAGCTGCGAAGGATCCATGGAAGTGCCTCACCACAGGCTTGCTTCACCTCAGTTTTGAAGGGTTCCCGTGACCATTGACCAGTGCCGTTTCCTGCTGAGGCCCTATGGCCAGGCTGAATACGAAAGGAAACAAAACACAAGTTTGACTCAGAAGCTAAACTGAGCACCATATATGTGGCATGCCATGTTATACTATGGCACCTACATCAGGATGACAAAGAATGGGGAAGTTGTCACACCTTCAAGCCAGGCTGAAATTCTGCGCAACTCAAGTGTTTTATGGGAGCGCATTTACCCCTTCACATAAACTTGGCACTCGGATTCCCTAAGCAACTGCAGCCACGTGTTCATATAAACCCGGCACAGCTTCAAGAACAGAAATGGTTTGGAAGCTTTTGTTCAAACCAAAAAATCTTGTCCTCGCCCCTAGCCCTAGCCCTAGCGCGCTAGCCGGCTGCCAACTTGCTTCCTGATGCGGGAATACTGAAGTATACTGACCTTCTGTTTGTGGACCCTGGGTCCTGGGGAAAAAAGTCTTGACATGTAAGCTACCAAGTGTCTAATCGGCTAATGAGCTCATAGCAAATCACTACAGTTTGGGATTTTGGGCACTTCCAATGACTATCAAGGAGCTTCTGAAACATGGCAGGCAGCCAATCACACACAACACAGGAGAACACTCTCACTCTCATAAATGATGATCAAGCTGCTGTGGGTGGCAAAGTTTGAGGCAAACCACCAATGCCATCCAACGCGGCCGTCACTTCCTTGATGGGAAGCTTGCGCAGGATGTCAGCCATGCCCTCCGACTGTGAAAGCACGCAGCGCTGAACAGCTTCGAGGAATCCTTGCACTCCCAAAGACGTGCCGGCGGCCTCTTTGAACTTCTGCAGGCGATGCAGCAACTCCACAACACCCTTCTCTTGCATGAAGAGCTCCAGGCCCTTGAGGACGGTACTGATGGTATCAGGGCTTGGAAGGTTCTGCTCCCCCTCAACTGCGCCCTCCTTGGCCAGGATCTCGTTCGCAAGGTTTTGCAGCTCACGAAGAACAAGATGGCCAAGCTGCTTGGTGGCACCATCCCTCATCTTCTCAACAAAGACCGGGAAGCGCAGGAGGACTTTCTTCAAGAAAATTAAATCAATGTCCTCCTTGCGCTCCTTCATGCCCTTGACCTCATCAAGCATGTTGTTGTACTCGGTCTTGATGGCCTGGGAGGACCCTGCCTTCTGCTCCATCTCCTGCGACAGCATGTTGTAGTAGCCGCCAGCTCCAAACAGCAGGGCCTTTGCAGTCACCATCATGTTGTGGCCGGACTCATCCTTCTTCACCATCTGCAAGTCGTCCATGCCGGCAGCCTCCACGCATTCAGCAGGATCAAGCACTGTGACAAAGGCAGCTGTCACATGGCGGATGCGCTTCATTGCTGCCTGCACAGGCTGTGGCACCCAGCTCAGGTCAGCCTCAGACACTGCATGGTTGTCCTGCAAGATCTTGGAAAAGATGCACTTCACAACATTGGAGGTGTCCTGGCCACCCGACAAGAGCTCACAGAGAGCATCCGTGAAGAAGGAGGCGCAAAGGCTATCACCCACGGCCTCACGAAACTTCACAAAACTGATTTTGGCCATAGGCCACGGGCAGGCAGGAGATGATTGACATGTGTATAGTCTACGTATTTATGCAAAGGTTTGCCCATAATGTAAGGGAAGGAACACCCACTGAAACATCATGTGGCAGGCCAGGTTGGGGAGCTTCAAGCCGACAGTGACACGCATACATGGCATACAGTCTGAGACCAGGGTAGGGAAATTCCAATTTAGAGCTTCAAGCTTACAAGAACTGACCATGGCATGCCCAAAAATAGTCTGCAAATCCCCACGCGTTGGCTTGGACTGCATGATCACATCCTGCAGGTCCTCTTCGGCGAGGCCCTCCTCCTCCATCTCTTCATCTTCTTCATCTGCGGCCGTTGCAGCTGCAGCCTGATTTCTGGCGGCGGCGCTGTTTGTGATGACAATAGGTGGTGAACAGAAGAAGTTGGGTCATAAAAGTCATAGCAGAAGAAGCGCATGTCAACTACTGCTGCTTGTAGTATCTACAAAACCTACATCTACATCTACAGATTCCATGATCCTGAAGGCCTTCGAACCTGCATCCTGTCTCCTTCCTCACAAGATGGAGCAACCTTGATGCAGTTGCCTGATGAAGCCAAGAAATGATTCCACACCGCTACACACTACACAACACCCTGGCACTGCAATGTGGCCCCTGAATTAATGCATTTAGACCACCTACAAGAATCAGCAGTAATACAAACACACTAGACTCAGTAAACTTTGGCAAAGGCTGGAACATGCTAAACTAAAACGCTACAACCCAAAGGAAGGAAGCACAGAACCCCCCCCCCCCGCTCCCAGACCCTGATGTCATTTTTTGTAAAAAGTTTTGCAATCTGTAGCAATGCTAGCCGCTAGCCGCTAGCTGCTGAGTCCACCTTGCACCAAAGACTATGATTATGAACACAAGGGAGCCTGCCAGTCACCAACTGGTCACAAGTCTTTACAGTTCAACAATGTCATGAATTTCAAGATGAAATGCACCTTGATGTCCACACAGTTCTACTTGACAACACCACAGCGAATCACCAACACTGATGGGTTCAGCTTTGGATTATGCATGATGCTCACAGCAGCTGATGGAGAGACAATAGAACTTACTCAATAGACTCAGTAGACTGACTTCACATTATGTTGGCCATTGCCACTTCCCTTCACATTCACATAACATTTGCTGTCATACATTGCCATAGGATACAACCTGCAACCATGCTAAGTGGCACACCGTGAGCTAAAACAAGGCTAACCAGGCTAACCAAATGAAACTCAAAAAATGGGAAGCAGGAAGTGGCACAATCTCAGACCCTTGCCAGCTACATCTACACTCCATGCTCAGAAAGCATGACGCCTGCTCAAACTCCAAAGCCCTCGACTTCAGTTGCTCCAGGGTAGGCGGCACCGTGCGGGACCGAACACCCAAAAACTCTTTGGGGTAGTTCTCGGACTGCTTGCGCGACAGGAACTGCAACAAGACTCCAGGCTGCGACTCGTGCAACATCTGGTCCGGCTGCAAGTTATCCTCTTTGAGGATCAGAGAGGTGTCCTTGTACACCTGCACCCGGCGAAGAGAGAAGATCTCGTCGAGGGGGAGCCCACGGAGGTTCAGCAAGAAGCCTGTGAGGTGAGGGTGACCACGCTGTTCAGGCTGCATCATCACCTCAGTGAGTTTCAGGTACTTGCTTGACCGGCCGGTCAGGCGCACGATGTCGCTCTCAGTTGCAAAGGCCAGTTCGAAAACCATCCGAACGCGTTGCTGTGCAACGGACGACACGGTCGCTGGGAGAGTGAAGGCTACGTTGTTTTTGACGTTCGTAGCACCTTCATCAACCAGCTTGCGAGCCGAGCGGCCCGCCTCAGAGTCCTCGTGGTACAGGCTTGCCACTTGCTCCAACCCCAAGTCTGGGAAGAGCTGCGCAGCCACCCTCGCGTGCACAAGGCACCACAGTCCAGTGGGCTGGCTCTTGCTGTTGAAAGACGCCCACTCTTCTTCCTGCCAGCAGCTGTAGCTGCATGATTCAGGCAGATAGTGACCAGCTAGTCAGCTAGTGGTAGTTATTCTGTATTGTGTTGCCAAAGGGTCCTTTAAAGAAGCAATCACAAGTAAGTAATCATGGTCAATAGCATGGATACCGATAAAGGAGATGACAATCCATGAGTGGAGACCATTACACGTCAAAGGGCAGAACATGTGCCATCTTTGAATGATGACTTGGTCAACACAACTCACTGGTCATCATTTCACAAAGATGCATTGAGCAGGACCATTAATGATCAATGGCCAACATTGTTGTGCTTGAAATCAAATCATCATTGGATGGGGGTGAACTCTCGGGTCGCCACCTTAGCATGAAAAGCAGGGCCACGCTAGATTATGTGGTTCCAGGTGATACACAGTGGAGCCTCAAAAGTGGAGCCAGAGAAAAAAAGAATGCACAAATCCATGATTTGTCAAGGTGTTCAGACATTGCATTTGTTCATAATGTAGCCCTGTTCATTGCTGCTGTGGCTCCCTGCTATCATTAGATGAGCCCAGGGTATGCTGCCACCAACACACAATGATTGTGACAACTGTTAAGATGCGGAAGCCAATCCCAATGTCTCATCAATACACAACTGCTTACGAATTTTGCCAAAATTTACCACATGGCTGTGTTTGGCTGCGACTGTCGCCTGGGTCAACAGCAAGAACTACACAATGAAAGGCCTTAATCTTGGCAGCAACCAATTAAGCCAACAAACACACTTGGACCACACAGGTTCCTTCAAAAACAATGAGCCCATCATACAAGGCCACAATCCATGCTAACAGCTAGCAGCTAGCAACTCTAATTTTGCAGAAGCAATGCAACACCCAAACTACCCAAATCCAATCCGGAGGATGTCCTTGGGGTTCTTTCTGCAGATGACACACAGGAGCGAGGCCAAAGTGCGCGGCTTCTTGCGGGCATCCTATCAGCGACAATTGTTGACCAACTTGCCTGGAAACTTGCAAGTCAACTTATACATAAAGTGCAGCCACTGCATTGGATCAATCAGTCCTCCATCTTGGACATGATGTTCCCACACAGGATCAAGCACACAAGCAGGAGGGACCGAGTACGCAGGCAGCCAAAATCTTATCGGCGTACTGATGCAATCATGGAGGTGGAGTGAGCCTTTGGCTCAAGTAGCTCTCAGTGAGGTCAAGTACTGGGTCGTGATTCGAGAGGCTACTTAAACTGTGACAACATGCTGTTCACTGCTACACTGTAGCTGTTGCTCACTGCACCGCACGGTGTACCAGCCCTTTCTTCTTCTCCAGATGTGAGTTCGCTGCCTGGCAGTGGCAGTCCCATCTTGCCGCAAGGCATGTCACTTGCTCGAAACCCAAAGGCTGTATGCGTTGAGACAAATTAAGGGCCTGAAAGCCAGAGGGAGGCCTTCAGCTATCACAATTAAGCGGCAAAGACTCTCCTAGCAAGTACGGTGTTCAAAACTTCTGCCTACGCTACATTGGTACACAAAGAAACAATGCTCCTTCTTGCGCACACTCACCTATCTCTTAATTGGCTGATCAAGAGTGCAACCAATACAACAACATATGTATGTGAAGTAATCATTACAGGAGTTGGCTGGCACATCTCTACAGTTTCTACAGAAAGCTTTGCAAAACTCCAGCCCAGCGCACCGAACAGCTACTAGCATTCATTGCTAACTGAACTAATTGGAAACTTGACTTCTACGCCATGGATAATGCACAATGCGCTGCAAATCTTTGGGCCTACTCAGGACCTACTCACCTACTCACTGTCTCCTCCTGGTTTCAGGCCACCCAAGGCCAGACCTATGCCTTTCCATCCACAGGACAGGCCTTGCACTTGTTCTGGGTACCGCTGAAACACATGGCGCTGATCAAATGACCAGAGCGATCAAAAAAGCACTGGCTTGGCACAGATTGTACATCATACTGATGCGTTGTAATGAGTCCATGCCCATGCCTCCTCATGCTACATGCTATGTGAGCCAGTACCAGACCTGTACTGCAGTAGCTACGGCCCAGTAATATTACCCAATAAATCTATAACCGCAGCGACTCCTCAGTACCCCGGATCTGGACTCATCATCAGTATCCAGTACAGAAGACCATCAGTACAAGTCAGGGCCGCTCATCCTTACCAATGACACTTATCAAGGAAACACTGCCATTACAACCGCCTTGTCTTTGCATGAAATGGAATCCTCAGCCCCAAGGCTTCAGCACTCTTCAACGTGAAACAAAACAGATCCAACGCGCACAGCCAAGTTCTGGAGTTTCACATACACATGACTAAGTATCACATGAGACACACCAGTACCATTGGGAGCTTGACTAGTGACTAGCAGCAAACAGGGCCTACACATTTGCTAATTCTGCTAATTCCATATTCTGGGGACTTTCAAGCGTTGAGAAGCTTGCCAGGGCTAGAATCAAATAACTTGTCAAGCATACGTAGAATAGAATACAATATGACAATACAGCTGCATCAGTACATATGAAAATCACAATTTGATGGAGGTTTCTAGCTGATTCTAGCTGACTCTTTATGTTCTGACAGTTAGCCATAGCCGTAGCCAAGTTATCGCTGGGGAGATTTGTGGGCAAAGGTAAACAATGAAGTGAATCTTGTAGAAAGATTTTCTGAGTACCTCAGATGCATAGGTGTTTTGCTCCACTCCAGACATGGCTGTGACCTAGCTGCAAGGCCATGCAGCCTGCGCAACATACAAACCAGGACCCAATGTCGCATTTGACTTGCTACTTAAGAATTTAGTAATCTATTGGGCTCCAATACGCTTAGACGCAAAAACTCCACAAGATTCGCCCCCAAAAGGTTGAAATGCAGATTGAGCTTCCAGAATCATCACATTACATAGACGTAGAGCCCATTATTGATCCCTGTGTTCCATAAACCTACTACAGCTGCGGCTATGGCTGCAATGGCACCTGTGGGACGCGGCCAGCCAGCAGAACTCAGAGCACACGCATATCTGAAGTCTAACGGTTTTTCACACCTGGAGCTTTAGACGATTAGGTGTTGTTTAACCGTTTAACCCAATGCAATGAGAATCTGCAACGGCAGCCTCTCCATGCAATGATCATCGGGATGGACCATTGGCAAGCTACTACTACTGTACTGTCGACACTGTGCACATTCGACCACTATATACTCCTTTCCTCCCCCTGCATGGGCAACGGTTGGAGGTCAGCTGAGCAAAGAGGCCATGGGAGCTCAGAGAGCGATGTATGATTAAGGATCAGTATGGTAGTATTAGTATTAAAATAACGATCAGAATTTTGGATTAGGGGCCTAAAACTACCTGCGGGTGCCCCAACTACCCATGGACCTTCCTGGTAAGAAAACGGCGATTCTGCTTCAAACAAGCCTGGCAGCTTGCAAGGTCAAGGCTCAGCAGCTTCAGCAGCAGTAGGCAGCGCTCGCAGCAAATACACCGCCCATATGATGCCAGCTAAGCATGGAAGCGCCATTCCCTGTCCCGACATCTCTCTGATTTTCGGGAGGCTCTCATCAGGAATGTTGACATCGAAACCCCATCCCTGAAGCCTCAGGTATTCGACTGGGAAGAATGCACGATCCTCCTGGAAGCTGTAGATATTTGAAGACGTACACAAGCAGTTCAACTCACCATGCTTGCCAGAGTAGGCCTTTCGCACTGGATTTTGGCTCCAGTCAACATACACGTTCCTCATGAGCTTCGGCCAATCAACCTCGCTCAGCTTTGCATGATTCGGTTGCTCATACCACTTCTGAAGCGCCACCAAGTTCAACAAGCATTGCACACGCTCACCCTTGGGCAAACCGTGGCCCTGAAACTCTGGACGGCTGGTCCACACACGATGCCTGTTCACATCGATCCCCAAGTTCTCACACCAGCGCGCCGCTTGCGCCTTCCAAGCAGGGAAACCATTGGCGTTGGTGCCATGCAGGGCCTTGTCCTGCCAGCATGGAATTATGAGCAATCACACTGTGCAATGATGGAACAAACTCTCAACTCTAGCAGCTGCCAGCATGTTTGCAACTGCAATGGAAAGCATTTCAGGTTAGCGGTTAGCATGTTTCCTCCTGTTTGGGTCATAAGCAGTCTGTCCCACTCAATCCTGACAAGCATGAATCAGTCAGCCTGAAACATGCAACCATGGTGAAAGCTTGGATGCCAAGAGCATGTGAAAGCCAGCCATGATATCTTACAGAAAATCATTGCAACCCTTGACAATTCCGTTTAATCCATCGCGCAGTCCTTGCAAAATCCGCTATAGATTTCCAAGAAACCCTTACCAGACCCCCTCCAACACCCCAAACCCTTACCCAGACACCCCCAAAACCCCGCTTTTCCACACCCCAAAATCCCCTTTCCACACACCCACCCCCGGAGGGGGAATTTTCCTGTGGGGAGCTGTCAACAAGGAAAATGCCTGCGCCTTCCCTCCCAAACCCTGCCAAAACCACCGAAAATGCCTGGCCCCACCCAGCCCAAACCTTCCACCTACCTGGCCTGCCTAGACCCTCCCCAGGCCCTCCCAAACAACCCCTAAACCCCCCAGGCCCCCCAGCCCCCCAAACCCCTTCCAGAATGCATCCGCATGGTCAAAAATGTGGATAGGACGACGGGCCGAGCAACAGTTGTGGCCCTCGAAACCCTCAAAAACCACCTCCACTTGGGGCACCCCAAATATTTAAATTCCCTTAGAAAAATGTGCAAAAATGTGAAAAAATGTGAAAAATGTGAAAAAGTGAAAAAATTGTGAAAAAATTGTGAAAAAATTGTGAAAAATGTGGAAAAATGTGAAAAAATGAGCCAAGAAATCCACTGAAAATCCTATATCCGCAAAATGTGAAAAAATGTGAAAAAATGTGACTGACAATTCGATGGGTGTATCTAATCACACAGAACCTCACACTCTGAGCTCTTGCCAGGCCTTGTTCCCCTCCTGCTTCTTCAGAATCTCCATGTCTTTGTCATACTGTGGATGCGAGGCCGGCATCATCAAATCCTTCACGCTGACCACACGACTGCACATCGCTTGTGCTTCTGTGATGGCCTCACCGCAAGAAAAAACCACACTCAACTGGAACATGGCACCAGGACTCACTGATGAATCTTTGCACAAGCAGCCACTCAGACAGCAGGTAGCAAGCTGCGGAAACCCTCTCACACCATGTGTACCTTGATGATGTTCTTCAGCTTCACCAAGTCATATTCCGTGTAGATGTCCTTCCTCAGCATCACCAAGTAGATCCTGCCAGCGTGGCGGTACCAAGCTGTCGCATGACCATGTATCTACAGCTTCCACCACGCTACACGCATTGCAATGAAGCAGCCACCCTAGCCGCCCTAGCGACCTAGACGAATCTGCGCAGCACACAGAGCAGTCATTGCATTTGACAGCTGAGTAAAGCCTGGACATAGACCTAGCCTTTCAGTCACAACTCTGGTCATAGGTGCAGCAATGACAGGAGTCTAATTTTTGCTCTTCGCGCACTGCGGAAATGCACTCCAGCGCGCAATGATACTGCATCTTGGCTAGCGGCTAGGGGATTTGCTGGGTTCTTCGCCTTCGCCTTCCTCTGGAGGGCGTTCATTCCTTGCCATTGCTTCTGCCCCTGGCAGTTTGAGGAAACGCTGTCGTGCAGCCAACCGCTCAGATTGTGCAAAGACAGCTCCAGCTTGGTGACCTTCCCTTGTCGCATGCTCTCTAGAGTTGAAAAGCCATTGGGCAAGCATGCCCAAGGGCCTTCCTTGTCCGTGCCTGGCAGCTGTCACTGCTGCTTTGCAAGTCCTGGATTTCCGACAATCCTGATGTCCGGCTGCCCTGCAGAATGCCACAAAATTCTGGGCATTAGGATAAAAATGTATTGAGCCATAATCTTCCACCTCGCAGATTTGCTCCAGATAAGATCTCTTTCTGGAACCAGTCTCCCTGGACTCGGCCTCTGCAGGAGGCAGGGATCCAGAAGCAGGCGGCGCAGTGGGAATATCCGTTGAGGAAGAAGCTGGCTCTCTTGGCATTGGCATTGGATCTGTTGAAGAAGAAGCTGGCTCAGCTGGCATTGGAACCGCTGGGCCTCTGCTGGCACTGGATGCATTCTTTGGCAGCCACTTGCTAATCCGCTGAGCCATCACTGCCGCTTTTGCTTTTGGCTTTGCCTTCGCTTTGCTCACAGCTTTCAGTTTCTCTGCCACATCAATTTGCCGAAGAATCCAGGGGGGCATAGGGGCATCATCGTCGGAGCAAGCATCTTCTGCGCCAGAATCCGACCTGTTGTCACCACTGTTGTCGTCTGCACCACCACCACCACCACCACCACCTCACGAGCTGCAGGCACAGAGCTGTTGCCCGCAGACAACGGTCTGATTTTCAATGGCGCTGATGAAGCCTCTTTCTGGCTTTTGCGTTTCTTACTCCTCTTCTTGCTAGATCCAAGAAGCTTCCGCAATCGATCTTCCTCCTTCTCTCCCTGACCAAAGGTGGCTTAGGGACTTATTATAGGGCTCATGGGCCTGAAAACAAGGCTCTATGGAGAGTGCGGCGCAAACAAAACCTGTCAACTTAGAGATTCGTTGATGAGCTGAAGTATGCAACCCTGATCAAGCCAGAATCCAGAAACTATAATGATACTTATACACTTAGAAGCTATGAATCCAACTCACAGAAAATCCCGCCAAGCCTTCCAGACTTGCAGCTCTGGAACAGATGCCAACCGCAGCACTTCAACGACAGCCGGCGCCATCTCCACAGGAGCCAACAGCTGGTCATCGATGAACACCACATGCATGGCAGCCTTCCATGCATATGCCAAATCAAACTTCTTCTTGAATGCCACCATGTCCTTCAAAAAAAGGCATGGTTCTGGAACACGGAGCACTGTCAGCGGCTGACCATTTGCCGTGAAGTTTGCTGCTGTGTCAGGATCCTCTTCCAAGCAGAGGAAAGTGAAGTGCCAGTCACGATAATTGGCGTAAGACACATGCACCCAGAATGTCTCTTGCACGAATACCTCTTGGTCTTCTGGCAAGTCTTGCAACGCTTCAATGCCCAGAGCTCGCTCACAAACTTGCTCCCAGCCAGCATCTGCACTGGGGTCGGCTGCATGATTCTCTGGCCGCATTTTTGTGAACTTGAACACGGCAAGTCCTTGTTCCATGAAAAGCCTCGGTACAGGCTTCTTTCCCTTTTGCGGTACCTTTGGAGCTCCAGGACCACTCTGCGCTTTGGCTTTGGGCACAGGTTTGACCCTGAGAAAGGGCCGGAAAAGTGATACCAGATTTGCATGCATCCTTTTCGCCACTGCATTCTTCCCACACAGGCACTCAGCGAATTTGCAACAGTCAGTCTCATGAAAATCCAGCTGAGCATGTGTACCAGACAGTGATGGGGCATCGCGATGAAGTCGCATGGAACAGCGGGCTTCGGTCGCCTCCTGAAGCTCCTTCATCAACCCGCTTCTGTCAGGCAAAGTGCCGAAGAACTCCTGCACCGGTTGTAGACATTAAGTTTCCAAATTTATCCATCCCAATGCTATAGCAGCTAGGTCACTAGGTCACAGAAACTGCTAACATCAAACAAAACTGCGTCCGCTTCTCATACAGCAAAATGAAAATAATGAAATGGAAAGACATGGAAAACCTACCGATTCCAAGTGCAACTTGAAAAGTCTGCGCATGGTTTGGGCATTCAAGTCACCGAGCAGTTGACAGAGAATCCGGCAAGCATCAGCTCCACGCTCAAGTAATGGGCATCTAATAGGAGGAATCAACAGTACTGGTTCTTGCATCTCACAAAACGCATGGCTTTCATCTTCACAGTCAGGAAATCATGCATTCAGGCATTCTGCGTGGCTGCTACGCCCACAATCCTAGAATGTACATGAGGCCAAATCCTGGAAAGGCATGGACTTCCCCCTGGTTAGTACTTTCCATTCTGTGCCCGGTTGTGCAGAAAATGAGGGCGCAGCTTACATTGTCAAGGGCAAAGAAGTCACAGTAACTGCTGTACTCTAATTTCAGGCACTCAACAAGAATCACATTATGCATCTGGAAGCATAGCGATGGTGCAAATAACTAAAGCCGTAGTACTGGCGCATTTGTTTGTTGCGCTTGTTGGTGGAGGAAGTGGTGGTGGGTGGTATTTGGGCATTCAGAACAGAATTGTAATCTAATAACTTTGTATACTTTAGGCAGTCTTATCTTGCATGAGGAGTAATCTCATAATTTAGTAGCTTAGTAATAGCCATGGTAGTAGACTGGAGGAAGTAATCATAGTCGGTGTTGCTATTGTCTTTGTTCCTATATTGCCCTAGTTCCTGGTCCTGAACTTCACTCGCGCAAGAGGCTCTGGACCCCGGTTCGGGGGACCCCAGAGAAAAAAAGAAGAGAAAAAAAAAGCTAGCCCTTACCAAAGCCTGGATTTTAGTGCAATGACGCGGGACCAGGTAGGTCGACTAGTAGTTAATACAATGAGTAGAATAGAAGCAGCGAAAGTAGCAGTAGCACTTGACATTTCCTGGTCCAGGTAGTGGTAGTAGTACAAGAAAGGTTTGAAATTAGCAGGTAGTGGCACTGGTAGTACTAGGAGCAGTTTTTTTAAGGGTACATATAGTCATTAGGGCAGCAAGCACGCAGTAAGCAGGATGATACAGAATAGTTAGTGTTTGTGGAAGCATGCCTGTTGTTTTTGATAGGGTGGGAGTAGTCAAACGGTCAGAATAAGATATTTGCTTTATTAGCTTACTAGCATCGCTAGAATACATTCATCGCAAAAACAATAGAGTCAACAGATAGCTATGGTAGTGTGGAAGCATGTCATCATGACCACCAGCGTAATAGTCATAGCCACAATCATAATAATATGAAGCACAATATTTTCAAGATCAATATCAGTAATCGGAATAGCTGCAGTAGAAATAATTGTCGAAAAGTTGTAGTAATCCTTCTAGTAGTAATGATAGTAGTAATAATCGTAGGAATAGTAGACGTCCAAACCCTAATGTCGCACACGAAAGCGGGGATCCAATCCTTTTTGCCTTCAGCCGGCTAGCCTGGTTACTTCAAACATTAAGCAAGCTACAAACCAACAGTCAACAATCCCAAACAGTTTGCAAGCAATCGAATACTGGGGCGCACAGGTAACTTGCAAGCATTCTCATAGCACAACAGCTTTCACAGCAGAGCCCTAATCACGCAGCTCAGTACTCACTGCTCACTACTCACCATTCACCTGCAATAATGCTGGCAGTCATCTTCACGCTTTGCACAGGCTGACAAAACAAACATACACTACACAGATAGTTGCAAAGGTGTAGCAGCGGCAGTAGTGAAAATACTGTGTTGTTGAAGTCACTTCAATCACATTCCTTCAAATCACAAGATTGCAGGCAACAGCGCATGCACATGATCGATCACGGTGTTCGTTGTTGCCCTTGTCTCTGTGTTGACGATAGTGTGGAAGTCACCACGCATTCAGCCAATCAGTTCTTTCCTGGCTTTGCTTGGCCGATCCAAATTAGTACTAAGTACTAGTCACTAGTCACTACTCACGATTGCCTCGGCCGCTACCACCACCACCACCACCACCACCACCACCACCACCACCACCACCACCACCACCATGATGGTAACAACCAATACTGTGGCTAGTAGCTGCTAGTACTCCTGCTGCAGATGTGACTGCTGGAAAGCTGCTACTAGAATGATTCCAGGCACTGGCCACTAGTAACTAGTAGTTACTACCAGGTTACTACCTACCAATACTACCACTGCTGTTGTTTCGAAATCTGCTACTGCTCATATTTATCTGTCATTAAACATATCATTACTACTACTGATGCATTTTGTCCATTGAATACTGGTTTTTGCTGTCAGAAGCAGCTATCACTCCTACTATTCCCGGTACTCTTACCCTTGCTTTAGCTGAATGACCACGCTTCTGAATACCATCATGACTGCGCTTGCCATTGCCACTGGTATTACTGCTGCTAATGCCTTATCACCACAGCTTACTATGCATATGTCTGCTACCTATTGCATTTACTAGGGCTACTACTCTGCTTCTGCTGCTGCTACTGAGTATTATTCCTT